TCACAGCTCAACCTCACAGCAGTAACATACATGGTCCGGACAAGATGGTACACACCTGGACCAGCCACACCCACTTCACTCTGCTGCCCTAAAGACGCAGATACAGAACATTAAAGCCTGGTTCACACGAGACGATTTTAAAATTGTCAGCCGACTTGTCCTAACCTGAGAGACCCCACACACGGAGTTAAAAAAATCATTGGTCTAACCACGAAGAGGATGCAGAGGTGATAGTTTGTTTGTTTTTAACAGAGAAAAAGTGTTATTGAAGGAAAAGGCGATTGTCAAAGAAATGGAGACAACGCGAGCTCGGAATATATATATTTATGCCATTGACTGTTATGATTTTTTTCCAGTGTCCGTCCTCCTCGTCTTCTGATTGGCTCCACGCTGCAGTCCACTGGCAGCGTGCTCGTCTGACCCCGACACCACACACCAAGAGTAATGGGGCCAAAACAATCAAACCTTCTGGATATCCCTGAGATCAGAGCAGTCCCCAAGTCCTTCTGAGCGACGCAGTCTTAACACACCACACATGGAAAATACTTCTGATTTTTTTAAACCAAAATCGGAGCGTTCTTAAGATTGGCGTTAGGGGTAATTCGGGTCTTAAATCAGCCTAATTATCCTGCCGTGTGAACCAGGCTTAAGATGGAAGTAGCAAGATTGAGTAGCAACAGTTGGTATTTTTGCCCTTGATCCTGGGTTGTATGTGTTTCTCTTTTTTTGTGTGTATCTTGTGTGTATTGTATATGTGACAGTGTTTGTGAAAAGGTCTATCAATCTATTGATTTTCTGATACACATTGATGCGAATGACTTTTTGTTTTGTCAATAAAGGCCGTAAAGTTTCATTTTAGCATCAGTTTCAGCCGGTGGTGTGCCATGTGATTGTTTGTATCAATCAATCAATCAATCAAAGTTTATTTGTAGAGCGCCTTTCATACACATGGCAACACAAAGCGCTTCACAGTCCACATCACAAATCATCACATAAAACAAACACCAGAATCACAATTAAAACATTAAAATCACACAAAAGATTAAAACACAATTAAAACATTAAAATCACACAAAAGAATAAAACCATTAAAACTTTCAAAATTACACAAGAAATTTAAAAAAAATAAATAAATGACAGCAGTGCATTAAAAATGGAGATAAAATCCTTCAGTTGTATGCACAGGCAAACAGAACAGTCTTTAACCTGGATTTGAACATTGACAGAGTAGACGCCTCCCTCACATTTTCAGGGAGATTGTTCCAGATCTTAGCTGCATGGATCTGAAACGCAGCCTCCCCATGTTTGGTTCTCACTCTGGGCACCAGCAGGAGGCCAGTCCCTGTGCTCCTCAGAGTCCGGGCTGGTTCATATGACACCAACATGATACTAATGTATTCTGGTGCAAGGCCATGGAGAGACTTGTACACAAGCAGAGCCGTTTTAAAATCTATTCTTTGAGCCACAGGAAGCCAGTGCAGAGACCTGAGGACCGGACTAATATGGTCATACTTCCTGGTTCCTGTCAGGACTCTAGCTGCTGCATTTTGGATGTACTGCAGCTGCTTACAGGTCTGTTTGGACAGACCTGTAAGCAGGCCATTGCAGTAGTCTAGCCTGCTGGAGACAAATGCATGGACAAGAATCTCCAAGTCTGCCCTGGACACTATATTTCTAACTTTGGCAATGTTCTTCAGATGGTAAAAAGCTGTTGATGTTATTGATTTTATGTGGCTATTGAAATTTAGGTCTGAGTCCAGTATTACCCCCAAATTTCTGACCTTGTCTGAAGGAAGTAGGGAGAGAGACTGAAGTTGACAAATGACGCCCTCTCTTTGTTTCTGGGGACCAAAGACAATGATTTCGGTTTTGTCTGTATTTAGCTGGAGGAAATTATTTTGCATCCAGTCACTGATCTGTTGGATACAGTGAAGGAGCAAATCCAGTGGTCCATGTTCTCCTGCAGTCAGTGAGACATAGATCTGAGTGTCGTCAGCGTAATTGTGGTAGGACACTTTGTTTCTTTGTATTAACTGACCTAACGGCAGCATGTAGAGATTAAATAGGAGAGGTCCCAGGATCGACCCCTGTGGTACACCACAGGTCAGGGCCACATCATCTGAGACGCAGTCTCCAATCTCCACAGAGTACTTCCTATCCTCCAGGTAAGACCTAAACCAGTCTAGGGCTGTGCCAGTGACACCAGCCCAGTCCTCCAGTCTCTGCATGAGGATCTCATGGTCGACAGTGTCGAACGCGGCACTAAGATCTAACATGACCAAAACTGTGACTTTACCTGCATCAGTGTGAAGTCGAATGTCGTTTGTTAGTATTGACAAACTTGTGCCACGGCTCAAAAAGGTCATATATAAAACATCAACAATCACCAAACAGCACCTAATCTACTCTATAAATAATAAAAAAATAATAATTGATTTATCTTATCGTATCTTACAAATGAAAGAATTGAGAGAAAAAATATATTGTGCATAATTATGTGGTTACAAACTTACAAAAGGCCTGTGTTATGTCGGTAAGAAAGAAACTCAGAGAAGTTTCACAACAACTTTAATTTACAAATATATTTTTTACAGTGCACATGACACAAATCACATATGGAGATTCTCAGAACCTCAAATATAAAATAGCAAACAGTGCATAATAATAAACACATTTACACATTATTATAAATATTATCATTCTGTTTACACACACACAGTGAATACGCTGTGATATGACATCTCTGCACATTATGGACACTTTGGCCTGGATCGGTAAAAAACACATTATGGATTTTCTGCCCAGGACTCTCATAAGTAATGTGTCTACTTCCTGTCTGTATTTTTTCTTTTTTTGCGTTGATATAAAGCAGGTGTCTCCAACCGTTTTCACCCAGAGAGCTACTTTCCCGAGACGATGAAAGGCAGAGAGCTACTCCTTTAAGCTGCCCTGGGAAAAAATGTGGTGATATATCGGTTTGAACAAGCGTGAAATCGGGTGCATTACTTATTGATCATTGCATATTTGTTACTAGTGCACAAAGTAGTTGATAATGATAATTAATAAGTATATAATTGATTTATGAATTTCTCAATCCTTTGGCGAGCTACCTGGAAAGCGGTGGCGAGCTACAGGTTGGAGACCCCTGATATAGAGTTACAGCATTAGATTTTCTTTGCAAAGTGGTCCAAAAATAAATCCCTGTATTTTAACTTTGATACACAAATGAGAGAATGTTCATCATTTTAAAATACACTGTGGCTTTGTTTACCTTTTGTGGTGATACATGAGTCATGCGATACGATGGTGTTGCTGATGGTTTATGTACAATCTCCTGAACATTGACTTCTACCTGATGTTAAAGATTCAGTCAGTGGTTTTTTCCAGACGCATTTGTTTGAATATTGTGGGAAAACGTCCCTAAACCCTAAAAGTATCAAGTTTTCATGTGTTTTCAAATAGTAATGGAATTGACCAGACGTCTATAGTCGCCATAAATTAATAATAAATATTTTGGAGCGGACCGATAAAAATAAACCAAGGGGATTCATTCATCCCCAACGAACAAATGGGATGTGTTTACCGCCTTCACCCTCTTCCTGTTTCTCTGAGTGTTCGAGTTATCGGATTTTCTAAAACCTAAAATGGCTGAACAGAAAATGCCAATTTCACGTTTGCTCCACTCTCCCTGTGACAAATAAAAGAAAATGCTGGATGTTTGGTTTGGTGGAGAAACGAGGGGAGGGGGGGTGGTTTCCAGTTGGAGCGACGGCTAAGCTAACAACATCACTTACTCCAACTTTAAGATGGTTGGTCTTTAGCCTCACTTTACAACAGCCCTGTTTCACAATCTGTACATACAGTTTATGAGACCATTATCATAATTGAGACATAATTCCATGCGGATTAACCCAGAAAGTTGTGTCTTTGCCGAAACATCCCAGACCAGATGGTTGTGTCCCTTAGCACCGGGGCCACGGACTGTTGACTCGACATGTGCGAAGCTGGAGAAAGTGTGTGGGTTGGCAGCTCGTTGTAAACGGCTGAAATGAGACACTGCTGTTGTGATAGCGATGGATTTCACCTGAGTTTAAAGTGTGGAGCAGAGAGATGGTCTAAAGCCGGATGTCAGACTGGAAGCAATGCAGAGTTTATCAATGTGTTGAGGATCAGCTGTTGTTACCATATCTATAAACCATAATAACCATGCGGTGTAACAGTTGGTGCTCTATTCTTAGATGAAAATGACACAGAGATGGCTTGTGCGAAAGTTTTGACGGATGAAGAGTGGAGAGGCTGGTACTGAACTGGAGTCTGCAATGGTTTATAGCAGGGGTCTCCAACCTTTTTCAATCTGAGACTTTTATACAAAAAAACAGGCAGAGGGCAATTCCTTTTTGCTGTCGTAATAAAAATCTAATAATTGCGACCAAACTCAGAGAACACATAAAAAATACACCATAATACTGTATAACCCTATATTTATACTTATGATAGATATGTCATGGGTCAAAAAGTATTCGTTGAAGTGTATTTGTTAAATTCTAATTCCTTTGCCAGCTACCTGTTAAGGGCTGGCGAGCTACTGGTGGCTCCTGAGCTACAGGTTGGAGACCCCTGGTTTAGAGTTTAAATGACTAAAAAATGTTAGATACAGCATACAACTGAACTTGAGACCTGGTTTAGCTGCCATAAATATTATCAAGTTTGGTTACTAGCATTGCCTTTAGACTGCAATGACAAATGTTCAATGGTTGTGAATGTGCGATGAGAGACAGACATTTTCTTGATGTCATTGAAAAAGTAAAACGTGTCCAGTCATCTTTACTCTCAGATTTTCAAAAAAAAAGCAACACACATTTCCATAACTCATCCACACATACAGTACACACACACTCCTGATTGTCAGATTTTGCACTTGTAATCTTATTTTGATCAAAGGTCATAACATGGAAGATGCCCAGTTCCATCAAATCCTTGCAGCTGTCATTCTCTCAGTGTCAGACCCAGACAGCTGTGTTGTAGTCAAACAAGGGCTGCATTCTGTCCTCAGCAGCGGTCTGTGGTTGTCTACTGTCCAAGTAAATCCCAGGGAAAGTTTGCTGATGACACTGGGGGAAGTGCTGCTGTTGTGGAAGCTGATGTCTCTCAACTTCATTCAGATTTCCATTTGGCTGGGATTTCCCCTGCTGTCCGTTTGCCCAGAACGGTAAGTAAAAGCTGCCTTTGGAGCCTTTAGCGCCTGCTTTCTTTGGCCTTTTGAACAAATCGCCTTCCGTCATCTCTGGCCAACCCGGTCGTTCTTTCAACAGCTTGTCTCTATCAGGACGCACACTTCGCAGAAACTTCTTAAAAATGTTCGTAGTGAGCGTGAACTTGCGACAAAACTCCTGAGAGCGACTGAGGTGCATCTGCCGGCTGTCGAGTTTATCAGGCATCCCGTTCCCATTCTTTGCGTCCTCCTTCCGCATCTCGTCTTCTTCCATGTCCTCTCTCTCCACTTCAGGAAGGTCCAGCCAGTTCCCGACGAGATCTGCAAAAACGTTATCGCCCAAAACGAGAGGTTGGCGGTTGCGACGTTGGTTCATGAGCGAAGAGGTCCAATCACTAGAATCATCTGTGTTGTCTTGGTTGCATTCACTGTCCATGGAGGGCCCCTCTTTGGAGAGACTGTACAAAATTCCGGGGAGATCCACAGTTTGGGAGCGACGTTGGCTCTGTAGATGAGAACATGGCTCAGGTGAGGGGTTTCCAACAGTCGGCCCGCAAAAGTCCACTTGCGGAGCCGTGTATCCTGACCAGCGTTTTGGAATCGGCTCTTTATTTGCACTTGTTGAGCTTCTGCTGCTGTTAGTGCAGGACTCAAAGCTTGATGACGATGTGGTTGAGGTCCCCATGCTGCTTCCACTTTGGGACATGCAACTACTTTCTCGGCTTGTGGTGGTGTTTCCGCTCTTTTGACTTGGCACTGGGCTCGGGTTGGTTACGGGCGGCATGCTGTGGTCAAACCCAAGGCCTTTCCCAGTAGCGGCGTCTGGACGGTGTGGTATTCCGCGATTGATGGGGCGTCCCGTGATGTCAAGGTTGTCAAGAGCAGTCTGGACTTGGAGAAGCTTTAGTTCTTGGAGCGCGCCCATCATTGAGTTCATCTGAGCGTGCAGGCCATCTCCAGCTTCTTTCATCGACAGCTGCAAAGAGACACAAAGGAAATTCAGATTAGTTTGGTGGGCTGAAACGTCAATCTGATAAGAGCCTTTTTCATCCATCAAACTGAAAGACACACACACCCTTTTTGTTATATCCCAATGCAATTTGTCTCTCTATCTGTAAGATTGCTCTTCTCCATCCTTCTACCTTGTTTAATTATGAGTCACATGACCCAGTTTTGGATGACATGTCGGAGTCCCATATGGCAGGCTGTGAAAGCAGGATCCAAATACTGACAGCTGCAAAATAGACCAAGGTTTCATGTTTTTGACAAGTTTATGTAATTGTTCATCTCCCATCTTCCCTTTTACCTTCACGTCTTTTTGAAATCTTTGTTAAGGAAGTTCTGTGCAGCCGTAATCATAGCCTCTCCATTTACTCTCTTCCTCTCTCATCTCCTTAAGAGCCAGTGTCATGTGACCTGATCTACCGTCTTCCTCTGAAGGCAGACAAAACGCCTCCAGGCATCGACTTGACCTCTGCCTCGGCTCTTACAGATCTGATTTAAACATGGCTTTGACTCACACTTTCAATCATGTTCACAAAGCTACATGTCTAAAAGTTGTGGATTTAACTATTGTTTGTGAACAAATAAATAATAATAGTAATACATGTTTTTTCTCCAGTATAAAAAGGGAGTTTAATTTTGCAGTATTGTCTTAAAGAATATTTATAATGCATTCATTTTGGGCATAACAAATGCTAATGAGACTATTTACTTTGTCATGTCATGTTTAAGAATGTAAATTATATCTTTTAGGGTATAATTTAAGGTAGAGGAGGATTTTCTACTTTGGATTGTCAATAATTCTGGTGAAACGTTCTCGTCAAACAAGACCAGAGAGATTTTGGAGAGGGCGGTTCTTTCTTAAAACTTGAGAAAATCCTTGAATACACCTTTAGGTCGAAAATATTTGGTGAGTTAAAATACTTTCTGTCTGTAACTCCCTATGCTACAACCAGAAGCATAGGGATTTTTTAATTCAATTTGAAAGACATGCAATTGAAAAAAATAAATAAAAATGTTCACCTGACAAACGTTTTAAATGACAGAAAACTGCTCTGAGTGATGTCATAGTGGATCAGTGACATCATGTTATAACAGGACTGAGACACAAGAGTTACACGTTTGAGCCAGAAGTTCCTGATGTGAGCGTGGATGGATCTAAAAACAACTCCAGGTCTGAGTTTGACGAGGAACAATGTGCAATTCTCAACAAAGTCAATTTTGCATTATATGACTCAACCAAATCCCACTGTTCTGTATACATAGATTTACAGTCACTACCTCAATCCAATCTGACAAAATGCACTGTGGTCTAACTGCCATAAAAATCACAACACTGTCAGCACATTTTAGTCATGGTTTTGCTACTTAAAACCAGGCTCGGGAAGGCCTGCAATTGTTTTCCATTCCTGAACGGGTGGGAAAGAATGTTGAGGAGCAATGTACCAACTATTCAGACACTACCTACCTGCAGCTGCATACAGGCTTAGAACCATCAACCCCTTTGTCCATCACAGAAATCCTAACCATAACAACACCTAACAAACACAGCAGTTACCTTAAAGACGAAAACCTCAGCCGTTGGTTCATTCTCCTCCGTCTTATTCTCTCGATCCACCTTCACTGTCTTCCACCTTTCAAACCCATCGCACACTCTGCCTCTTTATGTATTTTCAACCAATGATGGGGCACAACTTGACCCCCAAACAACCAATCAGGAGCATCCGTCTAGACTTTAATCCCCAAATGGAAGATATGGGCGAGGGAGGGGGGGTTCCAGTCAAGCGTAAAGGCATTGACAATGAGACAGCAGTGAGAGTCAGCCGGGTGTACAGGGAACAATGGGGAGGGGTAATGTTTGTACGGGTGTGTGAAGCGGGGGTCCCAAGCCATATGTTTGGATGTCGAAGTGGGGACTGTTGGATTCAATTATAAATGACACCATAAGACTATACGAGGAAGAGGAGGGGAAGGGGAGGGTTGTGGACGAAGAGACGCAGATTGACCCAGTGGGAAAAGTAGCAGAAGACAAGTGTCATGAAATCTGTATCAACAAATGATAATCTGTGTGAGAGATAGAAATGTGCTGGAGTTGTTTATGTGAAGAATGATTACATATTTGTATATCTTTATTGAGTTTAGTCGTAATTTATGCAATTTTAAGAGTCATATCTCCTCTTCAAGATGCAGTCAATTATTTATCCATACATGATTTTTAAAATACTATGGGGTCCCTAAACCCCCAAAAAGGCAAGTTATCATGTGTTTTCAAATAGAAATGGACACACCCAGATGTATGTAGCCTCAAAAAAAAAAAAAATATATATTATAAATATTGTAGAGTGGACCGATGAGCCCCTTCCTACTTTTTGTCAGTGCATCTGTCTGAGTTTGAGTCTGAGTTTCTAAAACACATACAGGTGGAGGAAGGGGAAGCTTTGACTCGATGCTAATGCTAAGCTAACATGAATGGTTTCCGCACCTTTAACTATATCTAAAACTAATAGATAATAAGGATAATACATGGTTATACAAAGGGTCTCCCATTTAGCGTGGGAGACACAGTGGCACAATTATAATTCCAAAGTACAGAAATCCAAAGTCTCAATAAAACTGAGCTGAAAGACAAAGGCCGGGTAAAACACAAAGGCCCAGGCAGGCGGCAGGTAAAAACCAAGTAAGAATAATCAACCAAACACCATGAAACGTTTCTCCCTCTGTTGCATATGCTCGATGAAGCACAAAGGGGCGTGGCCAGACTCTGCACATAATAGGCCTATCTTTGCACATGTCGCCCACAAAAACCACACTTAGACTCTCCAAATTAGCCTGTCAAGATCCCTGCAATTACTGCCAGTCACTTCCCCTGTCTCCCCGTATCCCTGACATCATTCGTTTTCGTGGCTAATCCGGGTTTACCTTCTGCACATCAAAAGCCGACAATAGTATCGCTGCTTCGATTGGCGTGATGTTGGCAGGATCTGTATATGAAAAACTGCACTCACGCTGAATGCATTAGTGGTTTTTTTGAAATTTCATCTCCCAATGAGCTCAGACCTCTAACAGTCTGAATGACGGACACCTGTTTGCACATGCTCCCCAAAAGCAGCCATAATTTCTCTTTTGCACGCAACTATTCTCGCGCATTTGCTCATGGTTATCTGGTTGTTACGGCATAGACTGATGTTGCTTGTTAAGTTTTTTTCATGTGTTCGCTAGCAGGATGCAACAGGCAAAGAAAAACACACAATGCTAAGTCGTTTTAGGCATGGATCCAGAACACAATGGCATATTTACAGAATACTTTCACATCTATTCAGATCGTATTTGAAAACAAAACAGGTATGCATGCCAAGGAACTTAATGTTCTGTGTTCACATGATGGGTAAAATAATAATCATTTCTAAAAACCATGTCTTTAAGGTAATCCACAGTACTGAAAGTGGCGTAAATGGGATGATTCAAACCAACCATACAATAAACTCATCCAAGATTTCCTTTGACCTGGTTTTATTTTGCCAATTTTTTTTTTCTTGTAGTTTGACTATTTATACCTGTGCCTTTCCCCACTAATTGTCCGTCCATTGGCCCTCAATTATGAAACTTGCGTACGGCCAAATCAGGGTGTAAATGAGGCGTGTGGAAGTTATCTAAACTAGCTAAATTAGGCTAAATTAGCTAAACATAAAATAAGGCAAATCAGCATCAATTGCATCCAAACTAATGATTTATCCACGATGTGTCGTTGACTAAAATGTCTCTGTATCTGAAAAGATCTGGGAAAAAAGTTCTATTTTGGCTTTTTTTGGGTAAAGATATATTTGGATTAACAATATACAGTATATGTGCATCCATGCAGTGAATATGTAAAAAACATACACAAATCCTACTTTTGAATACTGCAAGACCTTCTCCACCAACGCCCACTGATGTCTGCTGTCATTGTGTCCTTGGGCAAGACACTTTACCCACTCTGCCTGTGAGGAGCATGGATGTAATGTTTGCTGCATGCCCTGATGTGTGTGTTTGTATTCATCAAACTGAAACTTCCCCACTATGGCACAAATAAAGGACTGTTTCTTCTTCTTCTTCTACTCTAACATGGCCTGCCCACAGGGACCACGGATGAAAACTAGCTTTGTAGCTATAATCCATCATGTTTGCATTTGTTTTATACTGATGTTCATTGCATTGTCCCTGTCAAATGAATAGATGAATGACTACTGTAAACACACTTCTTTCAATCTCTTTTGTCCATAAAAATCTTTCTGATTAAACCATTTGTAGCTAACTGTAGCCTGGCCTTATCCATCCGTACACTCCTGTCAATAATCATTTCCTGCATGTAACGTCTGGGTCTGGTCCCTGTGTTTGAGATTACAATCTGTTGAATTTTGACCGACCAATCAGAGAGCGCTGGAGGCGGGTGTTGTAGTTAGATGTGGGTGACGCCAAGAGTTTGCGCCGAACGGGCAGGTTTTAGTTTGGCGAAGAATGTGATGGTAAAGTATTCTGGTCTGATTCTATCAAGAAATTGAATCCGTAGCAAGAGGAATGTTTAGCAAATGTAATCACTGGCAAAGATCCGTTAGCGGCAAAGGAGATGGCTAAAGCTAGGTTAAATGCTAAATGCTAACGACTCACTCATACATTAAATACGTCACAGTAAACTCAGATCCAATGGTTTCGATCTGCAAAAGGAGTTAACCCCTCCCACCTGTTCACGGAGTCAATGGAGCAAATCCAGACATTAGTATGAAATGTAATTTGTACTATGGTGTGGTACGAACAGGCTACCTCAACTCTGCTTCTTTGTATGTTTTAGTTCATTCATTTTCACTCATTGGTGATGTGATGCTTGAATAGTCTACACAGAAAAGGCAGTTTATAGAAATACTCATAGTAAAAGTGGGAGTATGTGTAAAAAGGATTAGCCCAGCAAACTGTGTCCAATCCCTGTGGCCTCTC